TGTGATTTTATTATTATTATTACGTATAAATATTCCTTCTATTCGTCAGAAAAATCCCAAATTCAAACCCAAGGCCATCGCACTCCTGTTGGAGGAACCGCTCCCTGATTAACCATATCTTCAGGCGTGTCGGTGTACTCACCACAATTGCGGGTTGGTGAGGTTATCTAACCCATAGTTAGGTTGGATGGCAGTTGGCACTCAGGTGTTCGGCCACTTCTTGTTATCTGTGCTGCTGAAGTTTAAACTATAAGAATTTTATGGGGATAATAATAATTTTACTGATTCAGAGTTTCTGATAGGGGGAGCCGGTTTAGTTGCCGACCCTTTGACCTTTCAGGTTTTGAATTCAGATTTGCCCTTCTCCTAGACGAGTTTCCACCCAACAATATAGAACAGTCTGTCCTGTTATTTACCCCATAGCTGTGGAGAGAAAAGATGGATTCTTATCTTTCGCAAGTGTATTTGCACTCAAATGTATGTAACAAACTCGACTAGAATTCGAACTCGGCTCTATGATTCCTCAGAATGAGCCACTATCCGTTACTCCACCGTGCTTTTAGAGTTAAGTTAGTGGCCATGAAACCTCGCAGTTTATCTTACAATCTTTTTGCTTACAAAGTCAATTTTCGATGTCCAAATATTTTTACTATTTACTAAGACGAGAGGCATTACGTAATTTGTCCAATTGTCTGCCTTCGTCGACTTCTTTATTTAATGACTCAAAGAATAACGATTACCCTTAAAATATTTGACATTTTTACGCTTTTATTAGCAATTTCGTTTTATGATTTAGTCATTTAAGTTTAACAACAATCCTCTTTAAAAAAAATCTTGATCAAAAAGCTGACCACTTCAGAGAAAATACACCAACTTTGATCTTTTCCTTTGGATAGTGATCTTCTACGTGTCTCCGGGTTTTTTGCGGCCATATTACGATGAAACAACGGTTCTCATATGATCACCGAAGTTAAGTACTGGTCGATACCTAGATGGGTCACCGTTTGAAAATAATAGGTGCTGTAAACTTGAATGTGCGTGTGGTGTAAGTGATATCGGCTCGGAATTAGAAATCGGAGTGTTGAGTTCCAATTCCAGTCAAGTTCGTTATATTCACTTACGTACAAATACCCTTGGGGGGGAGGAAGGTATGAATTCACATCTTTTCCTCCAGCTATGGGTTAATTAGTAGAACTTGTATCAGTAAATCATTACATATACGAAAAAACGCTTACAATCTAAAAATATTTTCTGGTTTTAAATAACCTGCAAAAGGTTGATAAACCGTAAAAAACCAATGAATTAATCTACATGTTTTCGTTTCTTCATGCTATATTTCAGTTTTGTATGACCCAGAAATTATTTAAACATTAAATTTCAGAATTTCAGAAAATTCAGACAAATTTGCTTTTCGTGTCAAAGGTTACATAATGCATTGGTTATTGGCTTCATTTCTTAAACAATTCATGGAGTCTGAATCATTGGGGACTTTGCCATACAGGATACCCAATATGGCGTTCTTTATAGGGCACCAACTACCCCCCTGCTAGTAATGAAAGGGGAAGTAGATTCGTGCCTTCTTTTGCAATAAATGCAAAATGTCCTGGATGCGATTTGAACCCACTTTGCCGATTCAGTTCTAGCTTTGTTAAGTATTAAACCAAGCAATTTCCAAAGAAATAATGTTTTTTTTATATTTTTTATATCCGTTATTGTTTCATCACTTTAAACATTATTTTTAGACGCGCCGATTATTTTAAATAATTTTTTATTTCGTTTACCAGTCTGAACATTCGAGAAATCTTATTTAAGAAAAATGCAGTCTCTTAAGCGACACACACACGTGTGTGTGTGCTTAAGAGACTGCATTTTTCACACACACACACACACACGCACGCACACGCACGCACACAGATATACACATATTAAAGAAAAACAAAACAGTTGATGGGACCAATGGACAACTTGACAAAAAAACAAAAAAAACAAAAAAACTCATATCCAGATAGAGTCTAAAATAATACCGACGATACTGAAAAAAGAAAGAGAAAAAGGGCTTAAAGGCAAACTTACCTACTCAATAAAGTGATTGAGGTCCAGATTGCCTAGAGCGAGCAAAAACCGGTTAACAACTTTTTGCTATATATATATATATATATATATATATATATATATATATATATATATATATACATGAATTATTCACACAAAAACTAATGCAAAGGTGAGACATCCATCATCGCAAACAATTCAAATAATATACAAAAACCTCCGAATCAGTTATGAATGAATTGATCCTTGTTTATATAAATTTCTGCCGTATTAGTTGTTATTTTTACTACAAGCTTTCGTCTGTTCCTACAGGCATCTTCAGGTATAGAATAGATGTTGTTCTTGTTTTTTCTCTTAGTAATAAGAGGACAACGAAAATATATGTATTGTTGTATCCGAAAATGCTATTGAAAATGAGTTATTGTTTTTGGAACGCGCAGAAGCAACGCTGAGTTTGATTTTAAATTTTTAAAGGTTGTGCGTTCATATAAAGTATGGTGATGAACAAATTTTACTGGTAAATTTTTCTGTCAAAGTGGCATGAACTATATTGTTCAATAATTACAGTAATATGATATATATGATAGACCGAGAAACAAAATGATTACAATATTGGCAATAAAATTGACGTTTTAATTATATATATATATATATATATATATATATATATATATATATATATATGGAGATGAATAATGAAAAAAAAACTTTTTTCTTCATATGGGGAATACGCTATTTCAGCAGACGATAAAAGTGTTTGTCTGTCTTTTCAGTCCCGATATGGAGGTGAATTGCATTCCACATCGTCTGCCAAAATAGCCTATTCTCCACATGAGATAAACAGAAATTTTTAAAATAATTCATCATATTGCTCTGTAAAAATAAAATACATCGAGCTCTCTTTTTGTGGATCAATTTTAATATTTTTATATTATTAGGACCCACTTGGATTATATACCCAATTTATTTTACCTTTACTAATACATATATGTAGGACACATGACACAGTGGACAAAGGCGTTGGTTAGATCCAGTGACAGGACCCAAAGAGTGTGAGTTCAATACCCGGTTAAGGCAGTGGAGAACTTTCAAAGGGAAATTAACAGGAGATAACTGATAGCTGACATCCATCAAACATGGCACGTGGAACTAGAAGAGTCTACCCCAGTGAGCGAAATAAAGGGTTCAGTTCGAAATTCCAACCACCTGAAGAAGGCCGGAGCGTACAACGGCCGAAACGTTGTGATAAATATGGTGACAAAGATGAGCGAATAGTCCGAATAATATATATATATATATATATATATATATATATATATTATTACTTTAAATATTCTATTTGGTGGATTCACATACTTGTGTAGAGGCTCCGTTTATTTTAAGCAGTATTTTATTTTGTCTACCTACGAGAAATCTTATGAGAGCGTGTCTTTCTTTAATAAGATTTCTCAAATATTAAGGCCGGTAGACGAAATAAAATACTGTTTAAATAAATGGAGCGTCTACTTGAATATGGGTATCCACTAAAAATGATATTTAACCAAGCCAAGCTCTTGATACTTCATCTCAGAACTACAGGTGATTTTTAGAAAATCGTCCAAAACAGTGATCAAAAGAACAAAGAATATACAAATCTGAATATGTTATGAAAAACAGCCATTAGTTCGTTGCAAGTATTTCTCTTGTGAAAAATGGAAGAAGAAAGAATATAAAACCTACTTGGCGGTTATTTTGCATTTTCTGTTGATGAATTTGAATAATGCAATATTTTCTTCAACTGTAACAGGAATTGATTCGACATTTGTTGGCGTTGATCTCACTTGGAATTCTTCAGCCACCTAAAAACAAATTGAAATGTTATTGAACCTAAAATCTTCCTTATAAAAAAACGTGGAAAACAATCGATTTTTTCAATTATCAATTAAAAACATGCAGTCTTTTTCTTATTCAAAGATCAAACATAAAAATAAGCAAATTGTCTTCTGACAAATGCCAGAAGAGGACAGTAGTTTCTGTTCCTAGACTAATAAGAATAAAAATATTGGCGTGCTAGACAATTTTTATCTCCAGAATCCATCTTACATATTTATAGGTCTACCATTCGTCTATGCGTTAATGGGTAGACAGATTAACAATGTCATTTGCAACAAGTGAAAATGTCTGATATAAAAAGACAAAGAATCTAATTGAGAGAAGGCGAACTTTGTAATACAGAAAGGAAACAACACAGCAATACTAACGAAAAATGTACAAAATGCACTGGCCTATGTAGATCAATTCAGAAGCAGAATGGAACCCGAGGATATAGAAATGGACGAAGAATCTAAAGGTGAAGAACATAAAGAGGAGTTAATAATGAATCCAGTAGTGAAGTGAACAATCTATAGATAATAATGGCCAGAAATCTGACGAGGAAGTCAGAAGAGGAAAATGAACTCAGATTTAGGTTGCCTATAAGAAAGAATCAAGATACACACAAAGAAAGAGACATTAGATTCCCAAGAATAATTAGAAGTAATCAAAGATCAACAAAGTGCATAAGGCCATTTCAGTTCAGGGACGTGTAGTATTGTATGTAAATGAGATACTGCTATAAAAGTAGAACGCCATAGCGATTGCCAGTCAAGCTACCATCTGTTAAGCTGACAATGTCTATTCCAGAGATTACTCTACTTAACAAGTGTAACAAGATTGATTCAGGGAAACTGAGCAAGCATGTGTGTGGTCGGGCTGGAGTCAAAAGATTATACACTTTTTCTTCTCTTTAATAAATTGCTCTTTTTATCATTACTCTCTTTATCAAAATGCACTTAAATTATAAATATGTGCTACTACCGGTCCACGGAAAGATTGTCTGGCATAAATCCAGTCCATGGTATAAAAAAGAGGTTGGCGACCATTGTCTTAGTGGCTTTATTGTCTTGCATGGGGTGAACACGATTTTAAAAAATGATATGAATTAGTGTAGTGAATTTGATTCTTACTATATATTTATCTAATACAGCATTGTTCCAAACTAACTAAATTTATTAAATATCTATAGCAACCACAGTTTTTCTTAATTTATAAATATTAGTAGACTCCTAGTTTAGCTTTTACCGGCCATAACAATAAGCTTTCTTAGTGTTTTAGATAATGACTTATACTAAATTTAAACCAACTGAACTGTAATTTGAAGTCAGCAAAGTTGAGAATAGAACCTGTAATCTGGTATCGCATCAAGTTGTTATAAACGCACACATTGTAGCACGAGATAGCAAATGAAATAAGGTACCGCTGAGTCGGCGAGGCGAAAAGAAGACAAGAATTGTTAAGATAAAATTCTTTGTGTTTTCGATATAGAGAATCAAAGCGGAATGTCTCGTTGTGGGCGAGGGAAGCGACTTGGAGGAAGAGGAGGGTTGATGTTGATGTGCTTGTTAAATCGGTTGACCGAGATCACTTGACGGCTTATTCGCTCGCCTGCAACTATGCTGACAGCGTTGTGAACAGCGTCTTAAAAAAAGGCGATTCAGCGGTTTTTTTGTCATATCCTTTGCTTTAGTAGCAACGTTCGCGATTGGCTACCTTTACATTGTACTTTATATTTTTTGCCGGGGATTTGTTTTGTAAGTCGAATGTGATGCGAGGAGCCCTCTTACAGATGACAACGTTTTTATTTTATAATGTCTAATTTGAAGCAGATTATAAGAAAGTGTTACACTAAAAATGGCATTTCTATAATTTAAGTCTTTAAATTCCCCACACTCTGACATTTATTGTACTGAGAAATAAAATTAAAAAAACAAACAAACTTGGTTCTGCCTAGAAAGAAACCGCTGGTTACCTTTGTCACTTGAATCTTTTCAGCTTGGTTACCTGAGAATTGAAAATTGAAAATATTGCTATGTATTACTGGAAATCGATAATTTTTTACTTACCGATAAATCTGATGCATTGAGTAGATTAGCAATGACGGTATATTGGACACTAGCCATCCATGGGCCACATTCATTCTCCCCTTTTACTTGCATTGTGCCTACAAAATGGACAGATGAAAATGAATTACTGTCAAATGGATACCACATGAAAATGACCAGAGATGATTTCATGAAAAATGGACAGATAAAATAACCAGTAATGACCAGTGATGAATTAAGGCCAAATAGCAAATGGAAAATAGTCGATAAGGAATTCAGACAAAGTGGTCTTTAGAAAATGACCAGTGATGAATTAAGGCCAAATAGCGGATGGAAAATAGTCGATAAGGAATTCAGACAAAGTGGTCTTTAGAAAATGACCAGTGATGAATTAAAGGCCAAATAGCGGATGGAAAATAGTCGATAATGAATTCAGACAAAGTGGTCTTTAGAAAATGACCAGTGATGAATTAAGGCCAAATAGCGGATGGAAAATAGTCGATAAGAATTCAGACAAAGTGGTCTTTAGAAAATGACCAGTGATGAATTAAGGCCAAATAGCGGATGGAAAATAGTCGATAAGGAATTCAGACAAAGTGGTCTTTAGAAAATGACCAGTGATGAATTAAGGCCAAATAGCGGATGGAAAATAGTCGATAAGGAATTCAGACAAAGTGGTCTTTAGAAAATGACCAGTGATGAATTAAGGCCAAATAGCAAATGGAAAATAGTCGATAAGGAATTCAGACAAAGTGGTCTTTAGAAAATGACCAGTGATGAATTAAGGCCAAATAGCGGATGGAAAATAGTCGATAAGGAATTCAGACAAAGTCGTCTTTAGAAAATGACCAATGATGAATTCAAGCAAACTTGACAAATGTAGTGTTTCTCTTACTTACTCGGGATTTGTGCTGGCAACGAAAACTTGAAAGGAAACATATAATTGCCAATGGAGAATGGATCTAAAAAAGAGACAAAGACAGAGTTAACGAGTTGTGGGTGTACTTTGTTCGACACACCGCTCCAACGTTAAACAAATTATTCTAAAACGGTAACCATTTGCTTCATGGAGGGACAGGACAGATTTCAAATCTAAAAGAAGGAATTTTATGCAGGGAGTTTAAATGGAGATTAAATCAAACGAAATTTTTGGTACATTAAAATAAAGATTTCTTTTTTCATCTGATTGAAATTAATAAAACAATTTGTTTTATACATCGTTTCAGTAATTACTGCTGTAAAAATACAAGGTTTCCATAAAGTCCTTATCTATTTTAATGAACCAAAAACTTTATTTTAGAATGAAAAAGTAGTAATTTCCCTGTGTGGTGCTAGACAGTATTTCTCGCCAGAATCTAACTTACATATTTATGGGGCTACCATTTGTTTTTGCTTTGAATATTGCTGCTACATCTGGTCTGATGCTCCTATAATATATTTAGAGATTCTTGATAAAATCCAAAAAAAAGAATCTACAATATTATTGGTCTTGACCTGGCATTTCTTCTTCAGTTTTATATAATTTTTTCAGATCTATCTATCTATCTATCTATCTATCTATCTATCTATCTCAGTCTCTTATCTATCTATCTATCTATCTCAGTCTCTTATCTATCTATCTATCTATCTATCTATCTATCTATCTATCTATCTATCTATCTATCTATCTCAGTCTCTTATCTATCTATCTATCTATCTATCTATCTATCTATCTATCTATCTCAGTCTCTTATCTATCTATCTATCTATCTATCTATCTATCTATCTATCTATCTATCTATCTATCTATCGCATTCTTTTCATGTCTACATAGTCCTAACTCTGTCAGTCTGCTCAGATCTATGTATGTCTGTTCCAATCTACTTAGCTAGTTCTCTGACTTCATCTGTTCCTGTTTGTCTAAGCCTTTCTGGTTGGCTGGCTCCTTCTTCACGCTCGAACATGAAGGCATTGCAAAGTAAAAAGAAATCGCGTGCTTATGAAAACGAACGCGTGTGTAAAGAATCAAAATCGTGAAGATAAAAGCAAATGTAAAAGTGTGTTTGTTGGAGTTAAAAGAAATTTGTTTTTTACCTGAGCTTGTATATAGCACAACATTTTGGCAATTGATGTAGGATTTTTCTGCCTCCAGTCGACATGAATTTGGTCTCGCGGTCAGCAAACTGGATCTTTTGTGGCCGTAAGACACTGACGAGATAGAAAGAGAAAGACGTAGCAGGGGAAAGGAAGAGAGTAAAAAATATTGTTTATTCTTACTTTTATCATTCAGGTGTTATGTTTGTATAATACACGTGCAGTATATCTTATTAAATTGTTATTCTCTCCAGACAGGCAACGCAGGGTAGCCCTTCTAGTTTGAAAGTTTCAGATATTGCTATAAATATATCTGTAAACGGACAATATGAATAAAGACAAAAGAAACACTTATCTTAGCCGACGTTTTTGTCCTCTGATTGACTTTATCAAGGAAAATGTAAGGATTTTACTTTGCAACAAGTAATTATAAACAAGAAGTAAAAATGCCATTAAATTTACAAAATTTGTAATTTAAGAACGCTTATAAATATGGAGAGAAAAGGGAGATCACCGCGCCCTGTGGGATCAGGTTGAAATCATAGACAAAGAACATCATTGGAAAATTCGTAAACTTAAGGAATCAGCACATATGCTAGGCCACAAACATCTCCTGAGCTGACCAAGCATAGAAATGAATACAATATAGGAACCAGTAATAACAAGTGCCAGAGAAAAGCAGTAATAACAACGAAAATTGCAACATGAGCTCTGGTAAAAGACATGCAATGATAACAGCAAAATTATGGTAAAAAATGATTGATGAAGACATTAGGTCTATAATACCCAGAAATTCATACACAGATGTCCTCACGAACACATGGCACGGTGGATAAAGGCGTTAGTTAGATTCCAAAGAGTGTGACTTCAATACCTGGTTAAGGCGGTAGAGAACTTGGAAAGGGGAATTAACAGGAGATAACTGATAACTGACATACATTAGACATGGCACGTGGAATTAGAACAGTCTGCCCCAGCGAACGAAATAAAGGGTTCAGTTCGATATTCCAACCACCTGAAGAGGGTCGGAGAGTACAACGGCCGAAACGTTGTAATAAATATGGCAACAAAGATGAGGATGATAGTCCGAGCAATATAAATAGTGTACATAATACCTCATCTCAGAAATATAAACAGATAACTCTCATAAATATACATCAAGGCAACTGAAAAGTCAATGTAAATTATGGAACATGCTAAGTGATGTAATTTAATGTTTAATAAACGAAAGTGAGTAAACGTTATTTTTTATTAAATAATGTAATTAATATTTATATTATTTTAATTTGCAATTTATTTTATTTTAAAATAATGAATTTAACCATTTTCTTTTCATTTTCTAACGTTTTTAGAGTCATGTATGTTGGCTTGGGAAAAAAAAAATTCTTTCAGGAGGGGACTTTTTAAAAAAATCCCGGGCGTAGATTTATATTTTGATGTTTCTCACGAATTTTCCGTCGAAGTAAATTACTTTTTCTTTTACTAAATGTGGCATTTTTAGATCAAAATTGAGGTTGAATTTATTTCTCTGTATAACTAATGCATTTGATAAATTGCTGTATCCCTTCTGTGTTTATAGATACATTTTTTTAAAATTTTTTAGTTTTTGTTCATTTTCGAGAGTAACATAACTGAATGAGTAAGAATTTAACGTTTGAGTATCAAGTAACAATTATTATAAATACACTGACGGTAAATAAAATTGCAGCATCCTGAACATTTGTTTTAATTTCCTCAAGATTAAAAATACAGGTAATATTGCTGAACACCATTTACAGCGTAAAGAAAGGGATCATCCGCTGCTTACAACACCGAGCAAAAGTCATAAGTGGCGACCCAGAGACATTAGATAAAGAATTGGTCAATATAAGTAGTACCCTACAATGTACAAAAAAAAAAAAAAAAAAAAACATGCTAAAATTTTATATGTTATTTAGTAGTTCCGGTGATAGAAAGAGAAACAAGTTTTTTTTTATCGAAAAGTTAGAATGGTCTAAAAAGAAGGAATTTTTTTTTTAAATAATTAAAAAATACTTTGTTCTTTCCTCTTAATAATAACATAAATATTTAGATGTTAAAATTTTGTTTTCGTCAATTTTGGCGTCTTTTTCATCATGCTATACTCTTTTTTTAGTGATTTCATGGAGGTACCTATGTTATATATTTTAAATAACATTAGATTATGAACCTAAACGTTTTCTTTTAGGTTTTTAACATTATACTAATGTATGTTGGTTTGGGAAAAGAGTAATTCTTTCAGGAATGGAGATATTAAAAAAAAAATCCGAGGCGTAGAATTCACCGAGTTAAAAGAATTTCAAAAATTGTGAAAAATATCGGTAGGTACCACTGAAATAGGACTTTTTTTTATTTGATAATCTAATTTAAAGTTTGAAAATGTTTTCTTTATATTTTATTTTCCGGCATTTCCATACAACTTGAATTTTCAAAGGACAAAAGCGCCATGTGTCGATTCTCATTTTCATCTTCTCAGAATAAGTCCTCAAAAAAAAAAATAGTTCATAATCTCTTGCTATTCTTTAATTAAAAGAATACCGGCTCCAATTTCATTAGACAGAAATTGCCGAAGTAGTCTCGTGTGCGAACCACAGATTTTAAAATATCCCCAGGCTCATCTCACTATTACGAAGTATGATTTTTTAAATGTAGCTTAGATTTGGCACACACGGCCGAAAGTATGGGGCACCCAGAGAGGATCGAACTCACTATTCTATTGTAATTGATCTAGCGAAACATGCTCGTTAATCATTACACTACGCCGGAGTGCCTAACTACTACGAAGTATGTATGAAAAGTATTCAACCATTTGGTTATTCTCGAGAAGTGGTTGGGTGGAGTTGATGTAAGCAACTGCGTAAACAGACACTCTCCTGTTGGTTTACTCAGTCGGCAGTGTAAGGCAATTGAGTGTACTATGTGATTATTTCATTGAAGCTATCTTTAACTTTTCTTGTAAGGTTCTGCCACGAAACTTCGCATCGTCTAAGTCGGTTAGCCTTCCCCACTAACGCCACTCAAAATTTGACGACTTCAGATTTTCTCCCAATTCGAAAATCAAGGTTAAGGAAAACGTGAAGAGGCAGCAAATATCGATCATGAGAGCGGATAATACAAATCGTTTTAATAAAGTAAAAGGGTTACTGGGATAAGTGTTTTAGATGCCAAAATGCTGTAGGCGAGCCTTTTCTTTAATATCTAATGATTGAATACTTTCATGTCAGATCTCGTATTCTTTATTATCGTTGCTTTTAATAAAATGTTTTGATCGACATCTTCTTTGGTCTTCCTCGTTGACATCCTGTTTTCTTTCAAAAGTAGCATTTTGTTTTGTAGTCTCACCTTAAAAGTTCTCTTGTGAGGACAAAACTTTGGCCCACGAATTATGAATTTGTTAAAACCGTAGTGTTCAGGAACAAAAATAAAGATAAAAATACGAAACAGTTTTTAGGACCTGTCATATGTCACTTTCAAGATGGTTGACGGTTTGAGAATACCGGGCGCTGTAAATCCCTTACCAGCATGCATTGCACAAGAGCGGCCGATTAATGGCCCATTTCCCTCGCTATGATGGGCAAAAGCTTATGATAAAAAGATAAAGAACTTTCGGAGGCTGATTAAGAAGATGCAGCATAGCCAAGAGGAAGAATGTATAGCTCGACACGTTGTATCAATAAACACGAAATTTTAGTCTTATTCGTGGAAGAGGAGAAAAAAAAATGATTCACTCACCGACAGCATTTCCGTTGACAGAGATTGCCACTCCATGACCGGTTGTAGGATGCTTGATAGAAAGATATACTAGACTGTGAGAAAAAAGTAAAAAGGATAGAAAAAAATAAACACGT